AGAGAGAGAGAGAGAGAGAGAGAGAGAGAGAGAGAGAGAGAGAGAAGCACACTGCTATATTCACTCAATTAGGATAAGGAATCATTTTTAGTGAAGTTAAAAGGGAATAAATGAGTTATTTTAATTCAAGTTAATAATTTGAGGCTGATCCAGAGTGTTTTGATTACAATTCTCCAAGGAAATGGTCAGTAGCTACCTAGAAAGAGCAGAGGTAATGTTAATGTTTCCTCAAAGTTACACAACCATAATTGGAGTCAATGAGATGTGACCGTGACTCACTGATAGTCTCATTCGTTGGGTCCTAACTGTATAGCTGAATCAGTCTTGAAAATAATGCCTAACATGAGACAAATAGAAATTTTTCTTGGGTTTATTTTATTTTATTTATTGTATTCCACACACTTCTCCTTGGGGACTATTGTAAAGTTCAGATATTTCTGATTGATTTTATTATAGTAAAAGACTTCACCTATCTGGAATTCATGCTTAAAATAACCTAATCTACCTAGAACACAACTGAGAACCAAAAGAAAGCAAAAAATGACCAAGTACAAATCCATGCACTAAAGCTTGTTTACTTTACGCATGGAAAGCCCCTCAAACTGAGAGTCAGAAGGTTCTGGGTGAGAGTTTAACAAGCTTAGGTCTATGCTTTCCAAACCCAAAGCAGAGCAAATTGAAGGAGCAAACTGAAAAACAGGGGCTCTATTAAAAGTGGTAATGCCAACTGATGCAAGAAGGGACAGGAAAAATCTGCAGAAGAGAGGAGGCAGAAAAAATATACAAAAAGTAGAAAAAATAACACAAAAAACACAGTAATCTCAAGTCACTTACCTCAGGGACCAATAGTTCTTCTCATGTCAGTAGTATCTGAGAAGCAGAGAGCAGTTTTTATTGTTCTCGGTTGGAGAACCTGAGGAACCAAGGAAAGGTTCAAGTTTTACTCTGTTTAAGAAGGCAGGGAAGGTGAGGGGGGGCAGTATATGAAAAACATTTCCATTCAAGTAAATTAAAATAAAAAAAATTTTGGTACCATTATTTAGGAAATTCATCCATCCAATGATTTTACTTTTGTCACTAGGTTGGCTAGTTGATAGCTCCACTGAACCTTTTCAAAAAGGCAAATCCTCCTTTGAATCCAGTCCTTCAAGTCATTCTAGATCTTTGGGCCACCCAAGGCTGTTTATCTTCAATGGCTGGGAATGATATAAGAAGAAATCTTGTTTTTAGACTTTTGCTTCCTTGGACAACCTACAGATATGAAACCAATTTTAAAAACAAGCCTCTCAACCCACTATAATGACCTCAAGTAAACAGACAGAGGGCAAGGACAAATTACCAGCTCTCAGCAAAATAAAAAGCCAGAAGCAGAGCAAAGGACTCTTTTCTCCCTGGAGCTATTGTCTACCAGATATTTGTGAAATCTGCTTTTTTGAGGCCCTGCCTTGTGGTATCAGCAATCATTGTTTTAATTAGGAGTTCTTCCAGGCCAGAGACAGTGAGTAGAAAGACTAGTTTCTTAAAGAATCTTAAATGAAAGTCAAGTCTTCCTAGCCCCTAGAAGATTATCACACATAACCAACCAATATTGTCCTAATTTTCAGCGGCATAATGAGCCAGCCCACATTTCAGAGGCTCCCAATCAGCCAGATGCCAAATTGTGATGTGGGTTATCAGTAACTGAACAGTGCCAGCAGTATTGGAGGTCAGACTGGTATACCAGGGGATCTCTCTGCTATCACTCAGCTTTCCTAACCAGCATGTGGAGCTGGGTTGTTTTGAAGGAAAGGTGAAGGAAGAGAGCAGTTATTCCCAGGGATGTGGCTGGCTGCACGACATCCCAGGACATCTGGCCAGGCCTTGCAGTACTTGGTACATTCATATCTGTAACTCTCACTAGAATTAACTGAATGTGTCTGGACAAATTCCTCAGGCATCAGTGAGAAAAGCTGAAAGCCTATTTTTGAAAGTTCATTGACCTCTTGTTAGCATAACCTCTGGTGAGGAAACAGTTAAGCTGTTGCATGCTCACATGTCAAGTTTGGGAGGGGTCATTTTAAGCAGGACACCAGGGGATTGATTTCCCAACCTCCTTCAGGCTGACTAGCATCTGAATGAACCTATATATTTTTTCCTTCTCCAGCTATATTTCAGATCATCCAGAGTATAAGGATGGGTATGTAAGGCGACAGAGACTTGACCTCTCTTCCTCCATCGGGAGGGTGGACTGGATTAGCATTTAGCTGCTGCTGTAATGGAACAGACACAAAAACCCAAAAGCCACGTGGGACCGTGCCCTGCACCCATCATCAAGGATGCCAAACCAAACTACCTCTTTATGTGACGTCTCGGGTGCTTGCGTGTTCTCAACAGGAAAGGAAAGGATATTCTCTCTACTGGCTGGACAGGCTGTCCCTGCCTTGAGGAAGAGAAGCCCCGTTCTGCATTGGTGTCATTTCCCGTTTTCCCATCAGTGTGTGTGTAACCCTGGGAGCGGTCCACTGGTGTACCTTGAGGTGTGTCATCTGTTGCGTGCTGGGAATCGATTTTAAAAATAAACTCCAGTGCTCACCCCTACACTTTTTGTTGGTTATAGTCAGAAAGTCAAGCCTAAAAATATATAAGCGACTCCACTGACGTTAACTGAGAAGCATTGGAGAGGAAAACATCACCAGGTGAAGCAATGTTGTTTTCAGGGACTGAGTTCTAGGGGAGCAGTGTAATAAAGGAGCCATCAGCCAGGATAGCATTAAAGTGAGGATTAGTGTCACCATAGCAAGATCAGGTTGCGACAGGTTATTGGTTGGGGTAATATGAAGCACACTTCTATCTAATCATAAGAAAAAAAAACAAGAGCTCAGAAAGTTTTTGCAGGAAGCATTGTGATTATTTTGTTGGAAGACAGTTGTGTGGTAGAGTAGCAATGTACAGTAGCTTCACAACATCTGGGTTAAGTGCCAGCTCTGCTGCGTACTAGCTGTGTGACCACGGGCAAGTCACTTTACCAATCTGGGCCTCAGTTTCTCCCTGCATAGATTGGATTGGATGATACGTCCCTTCCACCTCTATATCCCATTGTCTGGGGATTCGAGTTGGACGATACTAACTGAACTTTGAAAAACCTGCACTTCCCCACTGTCTGGCCCAACAGGCTCCAGTATCCACCACTTTTCCCATCTTCCTTTCTTTTTTGTGGTGGTAGTTCATATAGATAACATGCATGAAAATCCATTGAAAATTATAAAGCAGGATACACATGGATTTCGCACTCAAGATGAATCAGAAAATGTTAGGGTCCTTAAAAACCATACAAGCAAATCCCATCATCTTGATGATTAAGAAACTGAGGCAGAGAAAAGTTAAATGTCTTCTCCCCCGCCCAGGTCACACGGGGAGTAAGTTGAAGAGAAAAAATTTGAACCCAGGTCTTTTAACTCTAAATTCAGTGCTCTTTCTTTCATATTGAAATACCCAAAATCCTCTTTCTACGGATGAGAAACCTGAAAAATTAAGTGGTGAAGTGATGTCATCTTTATAACCATCATCATCATTATTAAATGCAGTTGGTTATTTCTACCTTTGAATCTGAATGGTTTCAAAAGCCATTTGAGCCTGCGGCCCATTCTCAGCTCTACTGTTAACTTTGTGCTCAAGAAAAGTGGTACAGTGAAAAGGTAGCTGGATTTGGAGCTATAGGGCCCAGTGCTACAAGTTACTACCTATAGGCAGCTAAGTGTCATGGTAGAGAAAGTACTGGACCTGGAGTGAGGAAGGCCTGAGTTCAAATCCTGCCTCAGAAACTTACTAGCGATATGAGCTTATGCAAATCACTTTGACTTCTCTGACCCTGAGTGTCCTCATATGTAAAGTGGAGATAATAATAGCCCCTACTTCATAGTCTTGGTTTTGTTGTGAGGATCTGTGCATCAAGCACTTTGCAAACCGTAATGCATTATGTATTATTATTATGTATGTGAACTAGGGTAAGTCATTCTCTGGGCCTTGATTTCCTTACCTGTAAAATGAGGGAGGTAGATTAGGCACCTTTCAGCTCTGAATCTATGATCCTCATCATTTTATCAGAGGAGATGTTGTCCATCCTTAGTTTTTGAAGAGGACTGATCACAAGGTGATGTCTTAACGTGTATGTGAATTGGATTTAAGTGAGGCAAAATTGCACAAAGTTGTCAGCCTCACTCTGTCTTCCAGAATCATCGAATCCTGTGGCAAGACAGAAAGTCAGGATGATTAGCGATGGCCCAAGATGCAGTGGATGACCTTGATGTCTGACCAAGCTCTATCAAATGAGATAATGTCTGTGTAAAGGGATGGGGTTTGCCTGGAGACTTCTTGATCAACTTGATGAGATGACAGAGCATAAAAAAGCCTTCGTTTGTAGGCATGCATTTGAGGGGCACTGACCACTGGGCATGGCCACTGCCATCTTGTTCAGAGAACACTTAGAGCACCTGATAACTGACTGACTGGAGTGTACAGGGATAGACTCTTGTCCAAGCAACCACTTCACTCCATGGTCTATAAAAGCTAACTGACAGACCAGCTCTCTCTTTCTCTTTTGGATTCCTTCACAGTTTTCCCTTGAGCCTTTCTGCCAAAAGGGTGGAGAAGAGATTACTCCCTTCTCCTTTCCCTTCCAACAACTCCTGGCAACTTGCCACAGATGTGCATGGTGTCTAGGTGGCCTAGGAGGAGAATTTGTGGACAATCTTTCTGATGGCCAACTTCCTGTCCAGAGAGGTAGATGTTTTCATCTCCTGGGCCCCACGATCTCAGAATCTAGAGGCTTTTACCTACTGAAGAGGGATTTATTGGGTAGTGCTAGATTTGGGGACTGACCTTTGAGTGAGTAACCCCCAAATTCAAGAGTTCCTAAATCCAAAACTTAGACAATAATCTTCTACATGGAGGAAAAAGATTTCTTCAACAGCATGCTTCATGGAGAAAGAAGAAAACATTTACAGAGTTCCTGAGCAGTCCTACTTTGGAGAATAAAGCCAGCGTGGTATTTGGACAGCGCAAGAAGGGAGCTTCCTATTGAGAAATCCCCAAAGTACACCTATTTTCAGGGGGAAGAGTCTAACCATAGGGTAATGTTATGGGTCTCAGGGAAACTGTATAGGTCTAGGAAAAGAGGAACTCACCAGAGTACCTCAAAGGATGGCCCTGATGGCCATCCCAAATTCCTTACCTTTTGGAGGGAACTGATGGACTATTTGAGTGTGGTATGTGTTTTCTGTAACTGTTGATGGACTCCCATGAGTCCTTTGCACCTTCTGCATTTTCTGTGGGGTAAAATAAAGGCTGTCTAATGCTCTGTTTGCATTTATTACCTTGAGCATTCACAAGATGGGGGAATGATGTTACCCACATTTGGGGAATCCTAGAGAAGAGCTACACTTAGGCTATATTTGGAGGTTTTCTCTGAAATAATTCTAGGTGGGAACAATGAACCAGAGAGGTACTAATCATCTTGGGGTAGGACCCCAGTCCTTGTGAGCCCAGAGTCTGAGAGGCATTAGGTCCCACATTTAAAGTTCGTTTGAATGCTTAAAATGCCCGTTACTATTATTATCACCATTATCTAAATTTTAAGTATTTTGTTGTGTGTGGGGTGTATTCGTTAGCTGCTTGGGACAGTACAAGGAAGGGGACACCCCTTTGTTTGGATAATCTAGAGAAAACCATGCTGCAGAGGATTCTCCCTATCTCCCAAACAGGAGGATAACAAAATCTTCAATATAAGCAACTTATAGTTCATTCTAGGAGTAGCCAGACGGTACAATGGATAGAGTGCTGGGCCTGAAGCCAGAAAGACCTGAATTCAAATCCAGCCTCTGACACTTACTAGCTGTGTGACCCTAGGCAACCTCTGTTTGCCGTAATCCACTGGAAAGGGAAATGGTAAACCACTTCAATAACTTTGCCAAAAAAAACACCACTTCAATAACTTTGCCAAAAAAAACACAAAACCCTCACGGACAGTAAGGTCCATGGGGTCACAAAAGTTGGACATGACTGAATGACTAAACAACACCAACATCGTTCATTCTACAGGGATTCCCTTTCTCTTTTTTATTGTCTGTTGTGCACTTTGCCCCAGAAGGGTTGTTGCTATGGCCTTGGAGGCACTCCCTCCTCCCCCGTCCCCCCTTCCCACTCTTGGCTTCCTCAGCCCCCACATTTGGAGCCAAATTGACTCACGAACAGCACTGCTGCTCTGTAATTAACAGACCCTGGTTGCTCAAGAGACTAGGAGCCCCACCCTTCCTCTAAGCTCTCTGGGCTGAGGGAGCAGTTTCCTTACTGCTCTGAAGACGGCAAACAATAGATGTTGGACACACCCCACAGCCCCAGGCATCCTGTTTGGCCCCGCCAGGGCTGTATGATGTGCTATCGATGTGCATGTGCTATGAAAGATCAGATCCCAGCAGCAGGCAACCCTAGCTAGAGCTAAGAAGAGCTGCGGGATGCCTGAC